TTATCCCTGGACACTCTTCAAAAAAGTGCATAAGCCTAGCTGCATGAAGCCTCAAAACAACAACTTAAACAGTTTATTTTTGAAATGCTTCCGTAAAGAAATAAGGTAAAGCATTTCCAGGGCAGCCGTGGGATAAGTTCCTAATCCATTTACAGTCCAAATACCACTGTGTTATAGCATTCAAATCACTCACGGCCTATCCGCTAACCATACATGTATGTGTAAGGACACAATACTGGCCACCAAAAGTGCGACATTAGAGATCTGAAAAAACAACATTGAAAAGATGATAGGCTAACTATTTTTCACTGCAAGGCAGATTATAATGGTATTGTAAGCAGTCTTTTTTTGCGATTGCGTTACATTAGCTTTATTGAACTTACCAAACTAGTCAGCAATATTTAAAACCAACAAAGGAGTCGCGGATAGAGGACGATTTTATTTTTTTGTCGGAAATTTTGGGAATGTCATGAACTGAAATACATGTGCATTCGGAAAATCGCATTTTCCAACGCCGGAAACATAGGGCCTACTGTTCAAATTTCAACATTAATTATTGTGAGATTTAAGAGAAGTCAGTTTTAGATACAGAAGTTCTTTTTGGTTAAAAAAAAACTAACTTGACCAAAACTAACGACAGTTGCGGATCGCAATCGCCTTGGTAGGCCCCCTATCATGTCGCAATCTCTGAAGTTTAAGAATTCAAAAAGCAATGGCCTGTGGTGGTACTAGGAAGTCATCTGATCTTTTCCTTGGATGCGTAAAGACCAAATTAAAGATATCAGTCACCTCAGGAAAGTGCAAGACATGGCCCGATGGTTCGTTTCCGAGCATGAAGAGGTTGGTTCCCAGCAGTGCTGGAGGACTCGAGTCCGGACTCGAGTCCCGATTTTCAAGGACTCAGACTCGGATAATGGGGACTCAGACTCGGACACGACAATCTTGAGGACTCGGCCCGAGTCTGGACAAAAAACCACATATTTTACCTATAACTTTACTGCAATTTCATTTTAAGAAGACACAGTTTTTAGTTTTCAAGATAACGTTACGTACGTGTCGAGAGTCACTCCAACTTGAATGCACCGTCTCGCCTACGTACGTAGTAAGCCCTACGTGACATGAACTGGTACGGTCCATATTGTGTGATACGGATACTGTGCTTGGTGTATGCACGGACGTCCGCGAGTGCCCATTTGGTTTCCTGATGAAAGACTCCCTAACGACGCCATGGAACCAGACTAATGAGACTGTGCCTAACTGGCACGTTCACTGGCCTGGTGGCTTGCATGACATGATTAATGTTAAATTTCTATATTGTACAGCACTTTTTTTAATTTGTGCACCCTGCAAACATTCTCACATATACATTTATCTGCTAAAATATTGCGTGCGCTAGAATTTAAATGAAAATCTTTTGCGAAACGATGAGTGAATTAGCTACAGTTTGAGGTTTGGGCGCACGCAGCACGCATGCGCACATACTGAGCAGTCTATCCGATCATCCCGCAGATCGTTGGCAACAAGGGTTCAACTTCTTGTCAACTGTCGAGGCTTCTGACTTACCATGTACCACTCCATACCGCAGATCATGTCGGCACTTTCCCGAGTGATCAAGTACAAATTTACCAATCACAAGAAGTATTCGTGCCACAAAAAGGGCAAGAAGAGACATTCTGCACACTGTAACTTTTGCAAAGCCACGATTTCTGAAATTAGTGATCATTGAACTTCCTCAAACTTCATCCGTCATCTGCAGCGTGTACACAAATCCTGGTATAAGCCTGAGGAATTTCGTAAATGATGGGACAGATCAGTTGCGGGGGTGGGGGGGGGGGGGACACCGAACAGGAATTCGCGGACGTCCGTGCCTACACCGAGCACAGTACCCGTATCACACAGTATGGACCGTACGTACCAGTCCGAGTCCGAGTCCTTGAAAATGGGGACTCGAGTCCTCCAGCACTGCTTACCATGTACCACTCCATACCAAAGATCATGTCGGCGCTTTCCCAAGTGATCAAGTATGGATTTACCAATCACAAGAAGTATTCGTGCCACAAAACGGGCAAGAAGAGACATTCTGCAAACAGTAACTTTTGCAAAGCCACGATTTCTGAAATTAGTGATCATGCAACTACCTCTAACTTCATCTGTCATCTGCAGCATGTACACTAATCCTGGTATACGCTTGAGGAACTTTGTAAATGATGGGACAGATCGAGTTGCGGGGGGACCTTTTTTTTTCCTCCCAAAATTTTGAACTTCTTGTGGTGGGCGTTTATGCATTTCTGTGAAATATTTTACTTGTAGGCCCCCTATACCCCATCAAGTGCACCAGTGGAGCGCATTTTCAGTCATTGGGGTATAATAATGCATCCCCATCGTACCAACTCATTTGGCTCAAGTGGATCTTTGCGTTGGCCCGGCTGGTGTTCTTAACAAGTGTGACATGAGGACACGACACGGCTTATTTGGTCGTTTACTTTTGACCAGAAGACAGAATTAAGTTCCAAACGTCATGTTTTCTCAATGTCTAACTGGCCATGGCCAGTGTGAAGGTCGTTGAGAATACCATCGCGCATGCATTCTGGTATCAGGACTTGTCGCCTAGGTTTTACATGACGATGCATGAGAGTCCGAGTTCTTCCCTGTAGGACCAGTAGGGTCATGGGGGAGATCTGTGATAGAGTCTGGCCAACCAGAGTAGAGGACTGTTTCCAGCTCTGATAGTACTGGGTCCCTGGCCGTTCCTGCTGGAGCATGTCTTGCACATCCAAAGTGGACAAGGTCAATCTGTTGGACAGTCGGGTGCGCATCCGAATGTATCTCAGCTAAAATCCTAATTTACAGGGGTCCAACCACCCCCCCCCCCCCCCACCTGGCCCTATAGGGTTAAAGCATTGCATTTTTGTACAACTAAATCTGAAACCTCCGTAAATCGAACAACATGAATTTTATCCATCGGATCATTCATGTGGCCTGGCCGTGAATTTTCTTTTCCCAAACTACATGTATGTATCCATATTACATGGTTGTTTAGCACCCTCTACGATACTTTAATGATACGTACGCAGGTACATGTATATATTAATTTTTTCCCAGGATTTGTCGAGCAGTGCAACAGCTCAGTTGGTAGGGCCGTGATTTTGGACCGCAAAGTTGTAGGTTTGAGTCACCATTTTATACCGGAATTTTGTTCTTTTCCAATCTTTGGAGGATTTTTTTCAAAAAGGGAAATAAAGTCAGAATTTCAATATCATATGGAGAACTAGGGAGCATTTTCTCACTCGCCACTAGTGCAGCTCTGTTTACGTGGGAAGACTGGCTCATGTCTAGGCGCTCTCAGCAAACTTTCGTTAATACGCGGAAAGTATGTTGGTTAAACTTACTTCCTCGCATCACATCATAAAATATAGGTTTTCCTCTTTCAAATGAATATAATTTCTTCATGGTTAAAGGCGAGTAATTATGTGCACTTTTTCATTGAAAAACGGGTAACTAAGTGAAAATTTCGCGTTTCCTATGGAGGTCACGGCACATTTCCCCGATTTTTGAGGGTGCGGGTTTACTTCTTCGAACAGCACACGTGTGAACTCGGTCGCATACAATTACCTCGCACGGTTTCTGAAAGATAACACAATAAGCTTTCCATTCGTGTAACAACCATTTTGATTGGTTGAGAAGAACAAGGGGCACTTTTCTTGTCAAATCAGACATCGCTTTTGTTGCGAGGATCAACCCACTGTTTATGTATAGTCCGGTCAACGCAGTGGGGCTGTGCAGGTCGCCGGGTCAATGCACCGTTGTGTGTGACCGCAGAGCATGCAGGGCTTTGATTTTCTGCACATATGGGTGGCAAAGTTCTCCATATGTTCGAATTTATTTCTTTTTTTCTGATTTTATATTTTCTTCTCAAGTTTTTAGAGAAGTAAAGTCCAAAAACGCCATAGCGTGCACCTCATGTGGATGTCATTTGGGGAAAAAAATTTTGCAGGACCAGCTATCTGTACCCGGCCGGTCATGTACGGTGGTACCGTTGCATATTACATTGTGCAAGCATGCTCCACACTTAGTGTAATCAACTGACGCAGTGATTTTTCCATGTCAAACGTCAATATTTAACCTTTAATCCAGCCGGGAAAGGGTTCCGATCAGTGTTGACCAGGGTGTTTCTACCGTAGAAACACTCCATTTACGACTGGTGAAAGAGAGTAAAACTACGCTCGCGATAATTTTTATGTGCCATTGTCATTGACTTTTTCGTCGACTTTTCTTTGAAATTATAATTTAAATAAAGTCACATATTGTGGAAAAATCGTAAAACAAATAAAATTTTGTGGGGCACAAGTTGTTAACAAATTGGACATTTTGTTGGAAAATTCCAAAAGTCGGTTTTCTGATTAAAATCAGAAAAATATTCTCTGCAAGAGGCAAGTTTGACCATACATGTAGTTAACCATAGTTCGACTAACTCTGGTCAAACGCACTAGTGGACGACTAGTCTAGTCCACTATTCAGGACCAGCCTACTGCGGCTGGTCATGCCATGATATTACTGGTTATCAATAGCAATTTTCATAGCATAGTGCAGAGGGGACCTACTATCAACAAAAAAGGCGGAAAAATGAAAACTGTGAGAGCTGATAATTTCATTTTCATGTCATAGTTTTTCTGTGTCACTTTACGATTCTGTCACTTTTGTCGCCATTGTATAACTGCAATTTGTATTAAGTACACATTTACTACTATTTGTGTACATATTAACAGAAACGTCAAATGTTGAAAAATTGTGCGACCGCCATTTTCTCATGGTCGTTGACATGACTTAGTTCAACTAGAGTCGTTGATACGTTCCCTACGTTATCTGCACTGCGAATGCGCTAGGTACGGCACAAACCAACCACTAGTTAACTATTGGTCCTTGATCCAATTTGCCCAAGGCTGGCTACAAATGCATACGCAACTTCATCTGCAGCATTCAGATATAACTTATTAACTTACCATCCTGGTTGGCATGGCAACAGTGAGTGATGATGTTTGTCTGTTGACTTTGGCTGTGGAATCGTCTTCTTGTATTATCTGGTAGTGGCAGACGTAACTCGTATTGTCTGGGACTAGACGAGTCAATTCTTCCTATACAAAAAAAGATACATTTTACAAAACAAAACCTACAGAGGTCTACAGATGTTGTTCAATGGTGTACATGTAGATTGGCCACATAAAGAGGTCTAGTTGTCATGCCTATCCAAGCAGTACATTTGCATTGTCCTCTAAAGATGGCCGCTCAGCATGAGGTCTATTGAAGTAGTGGCTTGGCTGTACAGTACTGGATTATTCAGTATGGCAAAACCAGACATGGGATATTAGTCAATTCTTGGGGTAACACCTTAACCTTATGACCAGTTCCAGTGCTTTGGCTACAGGGCTCGATTTACCCGGGTGCACGCATGCACCAGTGCATGTAGATTTTTGCTTGTGCACATAGCTTTTTACTGAGCATGCACGACGTGCATATACTTTTTTAGCCACCAAAATACTCATTTCATTCATATATTTACTATTTACAAATGAGTGAGAATAAGAATAAAGTTGAATACTTGACCAGATAGTGTACAAACGTGTTATTTCCTTTCCATAAATTATTCCTCGCAGCAGATTCAGGTACGCGGTAAAATTTGGAGATCCCGACGTCCTGCAACCTCCTCCGATCATGCATGTGATTTTAATACCACGTAATACATGCTGCGGATAATTTGGTATCGCACTGACGCTCTGGGCATTCCTTATGTCCGGATCATAAGTGTGATTCCAAATTATTAGCTGTGTTTATCACGTGGTCTCGTTATTGACCAATCGGACGCCGCCTATCATATGCGCCACATGAAGCAGACGGGTAGCTCAGAGGGCTGCGATAATTTTGCACGCAAATGACCCTGGGTACTTGTGTCACTTGTCAGGTTAAAATCTAATTTCTACACGTTCGTATGGGTCTTCATCGACGGCAAATTTTTGTCGAAATGACACATACTGAACACGCGGGAAGGCAAATTTAGCTTTCTATGTGAGTACTCAACATATGTTCGAAATTATGTATGGCGGATCAATTTCGCCATGTTCGAAATGCCACAACAGCGTGGCGTTGTATACAACGCCATGTTCACGGGTGTACTGTCTGTAGAAAGTTCGATAAATCAAAGAGAAAGAATGCCTTCAGAGAAGCAGACGGGTGTAAGTTAATTATGGTACATGTGGGTTTTTCTTGATGCATGTAGGTTTTTTGGTCTACAAAATTGCACCAGTGCATGCCACTTTTTTTGGTAAATCGAGCCCTGTTTGGCTAACACCCTACTCAACTGCTCAATTAAACAACACACAACAGGTGCTTGTCAATGTGCCAGGCCTGCTACATGTAAGTCTAACCAAATCAATCCAACGGCCTGAGAGTCTGAGCTTGCTAGTCACCACAGTATGCATTATTGGATGGGACAAACTCCCATTGTCTCAGAATTGGTAGTTGAAACTTGAATGCTGTTCATGTTGCTCTGCTCAATACAGGGTGTATCAAAAATAAGGAAACCCAAATGTAAATGTAAATTATACAAAATCTAATAAATATTTTGAAATAAGTTAAAGATGATGTGAAACGCCAATGTGTCCTCTTTCCAATGATACCTTGATTGTGTGTCTGTGGTGAGTGTACAATGTATGGAAAGATTTCCATATACGAAGTTCACTCAACACCCTGTGTACAAACCCTATGAGATTGGACTGAAAAATTCTAAGTGTTTTCTAAGAAAATGCTTGTATTTTCTCACTGCTCAAATTGACTTTGATGACATGAAATTACTATCTGGGGGCTTGTTAATAGTCAATACAGAGGAAAATTAGTGAACTTCGTATATGGAAATCTTTCCCAATGTACCCTAGAATAAACAAGGTAACAGTATAACAGACTGACACACATACATAATAAAAAGAATTTAAAAACAAAAACAATTGTTCACCTACCAACCTGGATAACTGTTAGGATGTTACCGGAAACACACACATATTTTCAGCCTATTGCGAACCTACCATGATACGGGTCTTGGCAGACATCCATGGCTTGGCTGGTGTCAATTCTTGCTGTCCTCGTTGGAGGTTTGTGGCCATGAACTTCCTGTATGCATCTTCATCGGTCTCTGCAAGTTCATCCAGCATTTACCAAAAGTACTGTGCCTGCTTCATCAGGTCATGTTAGACGCCTGTCACCATACTTTACTAAAATTGGAAAAGAAAGGAGGACAATTTTGAAAATGGCGTCTGCACAATATTCGCAATGGAGCCCTTGCTGATAAATGGTAATTTTCACTTTTCATCCAGATTGTAAGTAAAGCTTAGTATCTCGATCTTCAAATCATAAATCTGTAATTGTATCTCAGGTGGGGTGATGTAGTAATTCTGTGGTCATTTTGAGGATAAAATCTGATATTTTTGTTGGCAAATGGTTGGGTTTTTAATCATTTGAAACGCCTTGTAAGTACTATCGCCAGATCATGTCCAAAATGTGAAAAATAATGCAGGGGCTACTGTTGCGGCAATCGTTACAGCATCGTCTGGCTCCCTGACCTAATAGTAAATGTCCTTCATACATGCGCACATCACATGACGATTAGGGTCTGTGGATCGAAAGTTCACCACATGCATGCAAAATCATAGCGGGGTACCAACGAAATCAAAGACAAGTTCTTTTTGTAAAGTAGATGCAAAATGTTGATTGTTGAACAGCACCATGGTTTCAAGGGCGGATCCAGAACACAATTTTTTGGGGGCCAAACATTTTTTGGGTCCCCCCAAAAAGTGGGTCAAAAAAATTACGGCGTGGGGTTCGGGGCCCGCTTAAGGCCCGCTTAAATTTTTTGGATTCTAGATGCTCTGTGGTGCGGTCTGAGGCAATTTCTGACCACTTTAACCAATGTTTTTTGGGGGAAAAGATGGTGGTGTACTCATTGCCTGCCTTTATTGCGGTGTCACATAAAAAAAAATAAAAAAATTGTTTCGTTTTTTTTGGGGGGGGGGGGGCCCATGCCCCCCCCCCCCCGGATCCGCCCTTGCATGGTCTAAGTTGTTTTGTACTGATCATATGTGTATGCTGCAACTTGGGTGGAAACAAAAGTTCCATCTTCTTTTTTACTATAAGGAAAATTCCATTATACATGCATGGACATCATTAATTTTTCCAATAACATGCCCTAAAAAGTCAAATTTTGCAGGGAAAATATTAACTCTTTCGCTACGGAATTTAATTTACCTTTTTCGTCCCAACTGGACGTAATTCAAAGCTGAAAATTCCGCCGAGCGTCGATGTGGGGGCCGCCATCTTTGAATGTATCTCCGTAAACAAACTGCTCACAATAACAAAAAGCGCACCCCAGCCAGACGGAGAGCCGCTGGCAGCGGCTCGAACTAGGGTCAGAGGTTATACCATATAAATTATGTAGATATGGCCCACGTCATGGGGACATCATGTTTATTCATAGCGACGCAACCGAGCCGCTGCCAGCGGCTCTCCGTACGACCTGTACAATTTGTATGAGCCGCTTTCAGCGGCTCGCCGTAGCGAAAGAGTTAAAGTATTTACTGAAAAAAACAGACTTTTCTCAGACCAGTCTCACAGGGTTTGTGCACAGGGTGTCAAGTGATGTCCAGGTGGGGTATGGAAGTCTTTCCGCTTTGTTTATCCACAGACCATTGTTGTCATGTGATGTGCACACGCGCAGTTGAGACTCAGATGGGGCTTACATTATGTACTGAGATTGGGTAATCGTCATCTTTAGGACACCTCTATTTTTAACAAGTTCCGGTTAAAGCTACAGACCATCATTTGTAATTTGTGAATTTTGTTCGTTTGAAGCAACAAGAGAGTTCAAAATCTAACGAAGGATACTGAGCAATTAACCTGATGAAGTTTGAGCTAAGCTTCAGCTGTACATTCCGAGAAAAACAACATTCTTAGATCTCAATTTCAAATCAAAAGTTACTGAATCATGTTTTGAATTGCAGCTATACGCGACGTCGCGCACTGATCCGACGAATTACAACAACCGCGCGCGCGTGTGCGTCGTTCCAATACTTGTGCGCGCTGCGCTGAATAACAAAACGAACTACTAATTTAAATTTTCCTACGGTGCTTCTTAGATCGCTGTTGGAAATGCCTTCTTTCGTTGATTACTTCAAAATGACAGCTTCCCAGAAAGAATAACTTCACAGGGAGTTTAGTTCCCTTACTATCTTTCAACCAAGTTTGTTTTTCAACAATAATTGCGCCAGTTACTTTTCGGATGGCTGCAAATGATGGAATCTAGATTTAAAATGACTGTTCAGCACCAAAGTGACTTTTGCAGGGCAGTCTTTTGTCTTCAGATTTACTCATATTTGTTGGAATTTTGAAACACACTTTCAAAGAAAATGTGACTTCAGGCGCGGATCCAGGGGTGGGCCGCGGGGGCACGTGCCCCCCGTCTAATTGAGTAAAAAAAAAAAAAATGAATAAAACGGGGGGAAAGGAGGGGGAGGTGAGAGAAATGGAGGGAAGGAGGAGGGCAACCTTCAAACAAAAATGCCGGCGCCGATATTATACATCAGCGGCCTGCAACATTGTGTACTGGCCGTATGACACAGGGAACTCGAGAAGCTTTGAAGTAAGCCGCGATCCCACCGTACGTATCCATACGTAACCCTGCATGGTATATGGGTTATGAAATGCGATTCATATGAGCGTACGTACCGGTACGAAAAACACGCACGTGTGACAGCCGATGTGCTGTGTTTAGCGCGATGAGCGCGAGATCCGTGGTTGAACGCTGCTCTTTGGACCACACTATTGGTCAAGGGGTGTGTTTTCGTATAACAATTTGCCAGCATTTCTTCCAAGCGCTTCCAAGGAGTCCAAAAAATGTCCGTTTCAGTAAAAAATGTCCGTAGAAAATCTTATCTTATTGATAAACTGAAAATGTATACTTGATACAAAACATTAGAAAGCATCCTTGCAAAAGTTTACAAACTAAGTCTATACAATTCCATTTCAAAAATGCACGAAAACAATTATGCAAACGAAAATGGTTAGGCCGAACAAAAAAAATGGTGTGTTTACGGTAACGGTCTGAAAAAAATCCAGGTAGGTAGGTAGGGAAATAATTTTATTTTGTAATTTTTTTTTTTCATTTCAGTTCTGCATGCCCACGCGTGTTCTTTTGCAAAAAAATTAAAACCACTATTCAAGCATTGAAGATATTCAATCGATACATTTCAATCCAAATTAATTTGTATCGTCGGCCAGGGTTCTCCCCAGGATTTTTTCAAACATGTGGGGGAGATTTGCTGTGATTCAACAACCCGAAAATGTTTAAACTTTAGAAGCTCTCTGGTGCATTTTAGAGCAAATCTGGGGGTCTTTATCTTAAGATTTGTCCTTGAAATTCAGAGGAGATCTTGTAGGTCACTAATATTTTTGTAATTAAAGAAAAAAAAATCAAAATTGTTAACTTAAAAAAAATTAACATTTCACAACCTGTGTTTCATTGCTTCCTAACTAGAAAAGTATGAATTACATTTACATGCAAGTTTCAAATTAAGAAATTAAGGTGGAGAAAAAGAACAACTTTTGATTCCGATTACATGCCTTTCAAAATAGCGTCAGTAGCAGTGGCGTCGCCAAGGGGGGGCCAGGGGGGGCACGTGCCCCCCCCTGGAAAACCTAGTGCCCCCCGAGTGCCCCCCCATCTGAGATTTGGGTTGGTAAACAAATATATATATATTTTGTTATATTCAACTCCCATCATCTGAGTTGGTTTTTCATAAGGACAAAGAAGCACAGTAATTCGTATTTTCTTCAAATGAGCATCAAATGTGGCACCATTTTGCATCTAGCCCATCCTCCATATGCGAAAATTTTCCAAAGGGGGCACCCCCTCCCCTTAGACCCCTCCCCCAGGACGGCGATCCGTATCCACCTAAGTGCCCCCCCCCCCCTGTGCCCCCCCCAGACTGAAAAGTCTGGTGACGCCACTGGTCAGTAGGTCGGAAAATTATTTCGCCAATTTTTTGGGGGTGCTGATTAATGGAGCATCATTCGTACTAATCATAGAGCAAGGAATCATGTTTATTTTGTGCCTGGATTATTTTCATTTGCGCCACGAAAATTATCAAGACTGGCTATCAAAAGTGATTAAAACTTGCCTCACCTAATTAAAAATATATTGGAGGTCGGTGATCCACTTTATGCTTAACATACATCACGGCCGCTGGCACCGCCAACATTCCGCCTGGCTGGCCGAACATCGCGCCGTGCTCACGGCCCACGTGGCCCAAAATCTTGCACTACTGCAGAAACACGCTACGATGTTTCGCCACAAGTTCGAGCTTTGCAGGTTCGTCATTTTAATGGAAAACACATACACAGAAAGTAAAGATCACGTTCTGTAGATTAATTCGCAGAAATTCTCTTTCTCCAGCAATGTTTGTTTGGTAATATTTTTACGATCCAACTTCGGCCCACTACATCATCATGCTGTATGATACGAAGTATGGACCAGAGAGAGGCAGTAGTCACTGGTTCCGGTCCTTCATCATAGCATTGATTCCGTTAGCTGGCGAGGGAACCAGTGTACCGTGCTGTATGTTAGCTGGGTGCTGCTGGTGTTCAACAGAACATGTCATCGTGTGCATTGTGATCACACATGCATCGGAAAAACAGGATTTTGGTCAAGATTTTGCATGTCAAGATGAAATAATGGCGTATGTAACGATCAAATTGTGCATTTTAATGGCGTGTATGATAATTATATTGTGCGTACCAGGGGCTAAAAAATGTGATCGGCATTTTTTTTGTCAGCATATCGGGCCGGCCGCAATTCCAGCATATCGGGCAGATACGCACGTTTGTACGTACGTGGGGAGAACCATGCCGTCCGTCGGGCAGCCAGGCGTACCCCGATGCGTTTGTGCAAAATAATCGTACTTCGTAGTTTGAGAATTCAATTTTTGAGATCGTCGCGATTTTCGCACGTTTAACACAGGTATGTTTCAAATTATGGTCAGATTCAAGTGTGGAAAATGTTTTTTGTTCGTGGCAAATAATTAAAAGTACTTGAAATGTTTGAAATTTGTCAATTATCAACCTTCAAAATGGCAATAAAAAGTTTGAGGTCGGCAATTTGGCCGAAAAAATTCCAGGTCGGTCGGGTTACCGTAAACACACCATTTTTTTTGTTTGGTCTTATCAAGTGAAAAACAGAAGAAACTTAAAAGGCTTGTTAAAGCAAGAGTATACATGTATATTAAACCAATGAAAAAAAATCCTTATTTAACTTAAAACATTTTGCTCAAATAACTCAGGGAAGGAGGGGCCAAATATCGCCTAAGATTGCACCACAGAGCATCTGATTATCAAAAAAATTCCCGGGGCCTTTAAGTGGGCCCCAGACCCCACGCCGAAAGACATTGCGCTCCGCATTATTAGTCCTCGGGGCAGATCTACCGACGCATCCTTAAAACAGTTTACAATCTAAGCCGATCCAATTCCTTTACAAAAATAAAATGCAAGAAATATTGATTATGCAGTCGAAAATACTTGGTTATCAAGTGAAGAACAGAAGAAACTTAACTAGGCTTGTATTAAGAAATACAAGAGTACAATTTCAAACCAAAAAATTAAAAAAAAACATGGTGTCACCGCAAACCGAAGCGATAATGAAAAAAAAATCCTAATAATCTTCACAACATTTTGCTGAAATGGGGCCAGGAATCGCCTCAGTTTGCACCACAGAACATCTATAGAATCAAAAATTTCCCGGGTCCCTTCAGTGGGCCCCGAACATGGGCGTCGCGAGGGGGGGGGGGGGCAAGGGGGGCACTTGCCCCCCCTGGAAAAGCAAAAAAAAAAAAAAAAAAAAAAAAAAAAGGAAGAAAAAGAAAAGAAAAAAAAAGAAAGAAAAAGAGGCGCGAAGACAAAATGGTGTAAATTTAATGAGTTTGGGGGGGGGGGGGGGGGGGCAACATGTCCATGCCCCCCTTTAAAACTGATAAATCGAGAATGTGTTGAGAAATACAAGCATTTTTTGGCGACGCCCATGGCCCCGAACCCAACGCCGTAAGACACTGCTCCACGTTCGCATTATAGTCAGGTGGCATACGATCGGAATCGTGACCGACTGGTCCAAAGCACCAAACTTGGCAGATATATTATTATAGCCCTAAAGAAGATATTTAGAAGGGGTGACACCTGAAATTCTTTTGGGAAGGGGACCTAATTTGCATAAAGCGTTAATCCCTGCCGTGTAATATATTTATTCCCATACTTGGGTAGATGTTTATTTTTTTATTTTTTGAAAAGTATATTTAGGTGATTTTACTAACATATCCTTACTTCAATAACACTTTCTAAAGCATATCGGAGATTTGAAGATTATAAGGACATAATAAAGATCAAAAATGGCTACCATTATACCCCAAAGTTGCGCGCCTTTCCTTTTTCCTCCGATATCATCACGTAGTCTTGCCAAACCTCAGTATTGATGACCTTCAAATTCACAAAGTTACTTACTGGCAGAGTTGCCCTAACCAAAATAAATGGGAAATCGTGTGAAAAATTATATCATCTTGATATTTAGCCCACAAAAACATAAAAGGGGGGGGGGGGAATGAGGTGTCCGTAAATTGGGCTAAAATGAGGCGAAGGGTTGCCTAACATATGGGGACTTGATCAAGTTCAAGGATGAATCCCCCAAAATAAGAGTTATTGTTTTTAAAAATAATGATGTCTACGTCCAAATGTTTTCTTGCCAATAATTTTGGGAATTTCCTCAAACTTTTTAAAGTCCCCACGTTTAATAGGCAACCCCTCACCTACTTTTTAGCCCAATTTACGGACACCTCGTTTTTCCCCATTTTTGTGTTCTGGGCTAAATATAACGTTATCATTGTTCACATGATTTTTCATGGAGTTTTAATCGAGTTACTGAGTCAGTAAGCAACTTGGTGACTGTGAAGCTCATCAATACTAAGGTTTGGCAAGACAACTTGATGATATCTGAAGACAAGAATGATGCGCAAAACTGTAGGATATAAAAGTAGCCATTTTGGATCGTTACTATGTCCTCATAATTGTCCAGTCAGTATTAAATGCTTTAGAAAGTGTAATTGAAGTAAGGATGTGTAAGTAGAATCACCAAAATATACTTTTCAAAAAATAAAAAAATTAAAAATATACCCAAATATGGCAATAAATATATTACCCGGCAGGGATAAACAATTTATGCAAATTAGGTACCCTTCCCAAAAAAATTACAGGTGTCACCCCTTCTAAATATCTTCTCTAAGGCTGTAACAATCTATCTGCCAAGTTTGGTGCTTTGGACCAGTCGGTCAAGATCTTGTCAAAAATTGGCCCTAAGCCACCTGACTATTAGTCTTTGGAGCAAATGCCTCAGCGCATCGCCCATTGCAACAGTTTACAATCTAAGTCAATACAATTCCTTTTTTTTTTAAATACAATGCAAGAAATTATGAAGACAGAAATACATGGTTTGCAACTTTGAAGTACACAGTAGCTTAAAATTTGTAAAAACAAGAGTATATTTTTAAAAAATCCTTACAAGATTATCAACTTTTGCACAAATAATTCAGAGGGAAAGGGGCCAGGAATCGCCTCAGATTGCATCACAGAGCATCTAGAATCACAGAGCATCACAGAGCATCTAGGACCCCACGCCGTACGGGCTTCGCGCTCCGCGCTCGCATTAGTCCTCAGAACAAATGCTCTAGATGTGCCCCCCCATCTAAAGAAATCCTGGATCCGCGCCTGGACTTTCCCCATTTTTTGCATTCAAAGACGAAGTGCACGTTGTACTTCTTACAACACGTGTGCATGCCAGACAGAATGAAAGCTTAGCCCGATGTTGATTGGCTGATAACAACATGTTAAAAAAAAAATAATTTTTATCCAGCCAATCAGCATAATCAGCATCATTCCTTCATTGCATCGAGTTTCACTGTCGCCATCTTGGTTTTTGAGCCTGTTTTCTGGTTGTCTTCGTCATCGACTCCATAATTTCCCCAATAAATCAAAGACATCATGCCCTCTTTCCACAACATAATAAACAAAACATTCAAGAAGGTGTCATCCCTCATAGCTGTTCAAATGTCTAGCCCCATAAATGTGGCCAATTTACCGGACTACCTCCGTAAATAAAGTCCACACTTGGTACATGTACCTTACAATGTAAAACTTTGTCTAGTTTCTATTGTTCACATTTAGACTTTGTAGTTTATTAGTCCCATAAATGTGACGGTGTACTGGTCTACCTCCCTATTAACCAGAGTAGGAAGTCCAGTGTTACTGTCACATTTATGGGACTAACCTTCACATGCAGCTAGCACGCACTACGCATGATGGGCACCGGAAGTTAGTTTGTGTGACGCCTTCTACATGTACGTCACAGGTCACGCAAATCTATCCAATGAGAGCTCAAATGACGTCAGCCCTGACAAGCGTTCTGTTTGCAGGGAGGGGGGTGGGGGTACAAGCGAAGGTACTATGTTTTATTTTTAAGTCCCAGAAAATGTCACTGCGTATGTTCAGTGCCTATCCGGCAAAATATCGTTCGCTTAAAGAAAGCCGGTGCCGGCTAAATATACTCCAAATGCCATATTTGAATGTCAATAAAAAAGACAGTCTGATTAAAATTCATGTTTTTATCCATGCCCAGCATGCATTGCAAATGCAGGCGCGGATCCAGGGGGGGGGGGGGATTGTGGGGGTCAACCACCCCACCCCCCCCCAGCTAGCTCTGCCCCCAATAAAATTGCCATACAAATTCTTAAAAAATAAGTCACCCCCCCCCCCCCCCTGTGACACCCATATGGAGAACAATGGAGCATTTGCTCACTCGACACTAGTGAAGCTCTGTCTACGTGGGAAGACTGGCTATACTAGTAGGCACTCTGAGCAAACTTTTGTTAATATGCGGAAAGTATGTTCGTTAAACTTACCTCCTTGTATCGCATCACAAAATACAGATTTTCTTCTTTCACATGAATATAACTTCTTCATGATTAAAGGCGAATAATTATGTGCACTTTTTCATTGAAAAACAGGCAACTAAGTGGAAATTTCACGCTTCCTATGGAGGTCACGGCACAATTCCCCGATTTTTAGGGAGCGGGTTTACATCTTCGAACAGCACACGTGTGAACCCGGTCGCATACAATTATCTCGCATGCAGTGGCGTAGCCACAGGGGCCGTAAGGGGCTGTTCAGCCCCCCCCCCCCCCCATGAAACCTTGTCGCCCCCAAGTTGCCCCCCCCCCCCCTACTGAGATTTTGAGTTTCTAAAAAAATTATCATTGATCTACATGACGCCTCCCATAAAATGTCCCAGCGGAGCGGCCCCCCCCCCCCCCCCCCCCCCCCACTGAAAATTCCTGGCTATGCCACTGCTCGCACAGCTTCTGAAAGATAACACAATAAGCTAATTCCATTCATGTAACAAACGTTTTGATTGGTTGAGAAGAACAAGGGGCACTTTTCTTGTCAAATCAGACATCGCTTTTGTTCTGAGGATAGACGGCTCCTTATGTATAGTCCAGTCTACGCAGTAGGCTATGCAGGTTGCCGGGTAAATGCACCGTTGTGCGTGACCGCAGAGCATACAGGGCTGTGATTTTCTGCACATATGGGTGGCAAAGTTCTCCATACGCAAAAAAATTATAACTCCAGAAGAATCTACAGTAGTTCAATCACTTCCACCTAGCTTTCCAAGGCCAAATGGTTAACTTTTCAGGCAAAAATTGGCAAACTTACTTTCACTGTTGGGACGTTTTTTCGAAAGTCCTCCACGTCGTGCCCCGCCAATTCAAGAACGCGCAACGAACCACGTGAGATTGGTTTGTGAACAAATCCCTGGTCCCTGTACTATTGCAATGATTTCAAAAAGCATTGGGAAGTGCGAACCAGTTATTTCTGCGGCGCCTTAATCACCAATGAAAACTACCAGGCACATTTTGTGCTGGGGTAGTTTCAGGTTTTTTAGCTTGGGGAAAAGTCGTTTTTATTCTAATTCACAATGTTTGCATACCATCTTTTTCAATTCTCACAATTTTTATATAAAACAATATTGGAGACCTGTATCTCAGAAAAGATCGTCTTCAAATTCAATAGTTTGCTAAAAAGAAATTTTATTTTGAACCGAGTTCCCTTCATTAATTTGGTATAGCCCTTGTGGAATGTATATGCAAATTTGTACAGGTGCAATTTTTTTTCATCAAGCGATAACTGGCCCTCCCCCCGCAACGCCCATTTAGAAATTTTTAGAGTGCCGCGACTTCTATATTCCTCTATTTTTAATAATATTCCTCTATTATTTAATATTTGATATTCCTCTATGTAATAAATGTAGCCATAGAGGGCGGGCTTTCGATTAGTGCGGCGAAATTAACTTGTCCATCACTGATAACCCCACCAGGGGCGGATCCAGGAATTTTACCAGTATATTATTACCAGTATAATTTATTTGGGGTGTCACAGCAGGGGGGGGGGGGGGGGTAGCATTAATTTAAATGAGTTTCTATGAAAAAAACATTGACAGAGCGGGGGGGGGGGCGTTGTGACCCCCCCCCCCCCCAATCCATGCCTGCCCACCTCCAACCCATACACAATGTAGACAGCTTAATTTAATTTTACAAAAACATTTTTTAGGGAATATCGAAGGGAAGTGAAACAAAAAGTGCGTTTTGTTCTTAAAGTAGAGTTGTTTATTGGTAGTGGGGCCTAGACAATTCGTCACCGTTTTCACGAAGAGCCACATATCTCCAAAATTACAATTTTTTTCGATTTTGATTTTTTCAATATTTCGCATTAAAACAATGTACTTAACCATTTTGACATGTTTCTGTAAGCAAAACATCATTAATTTCTAAGTTACATTAATGTTGCAAGGGGCAGAAATCTCGATAACTGCATTTTGAGTTTTCACGAAGAGCCACATACATTTTGGCCCTTTGAACGCGTACAAAACCCATTGCACGGAAATACGTAAAAGTAGGTCAAATGAGATTTGCGTTTTCACGAAGAGCCACATATCTGTGTTACATTTTCAGGCGCGCGCGCGTACTCACGCGCGCCTATGGAAATACACGTTGAACAGAAAGGGCCAATATGTCGGAAACGTGAATTTGCGTTTTCACGAAGAGCCACATATCTTTACTAATTAATTTCCACTAATTAACTGCTTTATTAAGTCTTATTACCGGGTTTATGTAAAACTTCAGCTCACGTAGAATTGTGTGATGGTTTTCTTGCTGCACAAAGTTGTTGCAAAGTAGTATTTCTTGCAGTTTTAAAATATGAGAAACTTCTTTTGTGATTATCTCGAAAACACTTTACTTCAAAATCAACATAATATATATAGTATGTGGCTGTTCGTGAAAACGGTGACGAATTATCATGAATTCATGAAAGGGGATGAATTGAAGAGGGGGGTGTTAATAGGTAAAGTTCTATTTGTTGGTGTTCATTGGGTGCTAGAAAAATATTTTAAAAAAGCTTTTTGTTTTCAAATGAGCCACCGTGGTGTCGCTAAGCCCACAACAGCAAAACACAACAGGTCCACAACAAAACAATGTAATGAAACAACGATTCATTCAAGACAACTTCAACTTATTTGAAGTTGTCCTGAAGTAATCAAAAAGCTGTCTTGCAGACTGAAGTGGGGGCCACTAGAAATGCCTTGAATATTAATCCACCATGGAACAAGTGAAGACGACTGTTTTAATGCGAAATTGTAGTCTATTCATCCCCGTTGCCACTTTATAATACAAAGAAAGAAAAGAAAGGAAACACTGCACCCCTCCCATAAAATGCAATCTAGCCCCGCCCCTCCACATAAGGAATTGGCAACAACTGGCCTGTCGGTTACCACTTTCTTAATCCCCCAACAATAAATGCTTCTGGATCCATCAGCGATTTAGCTGTGTAATCATATTTTTAATTGCATGAAGTAAATTTGTGATTGGGTTGATATATTTTTTAAGGAATTTCTTTTGCTATCCTCATTATGAAGCCTGCATGCCTGATTACAAAACCCAAGTGGTGACCCAGCTGTAGAATTCAGAGGCGGGAGATTGGTCCATCACTGAGGGAGGAATGGAGGCATAACACAACAATCATCTAACCTCAAAGATTTCTCCTTGATTGACTTAAGTCACTGCATGGAATGATTTATTACATGATAATAATCATACAAAGTACACAATGTCAAATATAATCCCTGACGTCTTAAACTTTTCCCCAAATTTCTGGAACAAAGGAAAAGAAGAGATCAGAAATGTTTCTGCACCAATAACAAATAATACAAATAACATACAAATTTCAACAAAAATTTCTTTCACAGTTAACCATATCAAAAGCCAAATCAACTTACTTCCGCCAAACGGTACAAATATCAGATTTTTAATTTTTATTTAAAAATTAAACAAGGAACTTGACTGTAGCAGGATTACCATTCCAGATTACCGTATCGGAACAGGAATCCAGAGGTCACCAGGTCAAACCAGCTCCAGTCAATGTCTTTGTTCAACTTTCAAGTTACACATGTATTATAATGCACCGAGACAGTTCTCCTTTGTGGTTTATTTTTATTACAACATGTAACTTAAGTTGCACGAAAAGATCCAGGTCAACTTTCAATGTCTATTTGATAATAACGAACTAACGTTTGGGAAAACCAGAAGCACAGTAACTGAGGACATTTCCATAACCAGTGTTTGTGTAACAGGAGCACAGTCACTGGTTGGAGAAGTGTCAGGAACTATGACAATGTTCTATATAAAGGATGAAGGGTTTATTTTGCTAAATTTCAGCAAACGTGAAACAGAAACCAAATTATCCAAAAGTCAGCAGATTATCTTGACTTGGAGTTCATGTCCGAGTGATGACCTTATCTTACAGACTAAATATCACAATTATGTAATTTGCAAACAATGGCTTAAAGGCATATAGAACATTTGTATTTCATTTTGCTTGTTTTCAATACTTGTAATATTATCACTGATTCACAGAAGAATACTCAAAACCTAACATGTTGAAGCTTTGGTATTTCTTTTCAAGAAAAGAGTGAAATATCTATGCACAAACTTTTAATCAATAAACGCGATTTTGTCCATAGCACTCTTATTTCAAAAAATCAGTCAATTGACTTATCATTGGAAATCACCTACATTTCTTGATTTCTTCTTAATGACAGCAAGCCAGACGGAATAATTTCACAGGGTATTTAGTACCAGTACGATCTTTAAACCAAGTGAGCTTTTTTATTACAATTTGGTAGGTTACTTGTGATATAAATGCAAATGATCCCATCCCATATCCCTTGAAATGTGTCAATGAATGAGTACAAAAATCCCCGTCATTTAAAATTGCAATCAGTACGGCTTTACAAATACAGTGTTTAAATCTCATTTTAATCAAAATCTTCTTTCATGTGTCATGCCAGCAACAACAGTTAAACATTATTTACATTCAGTTAACATTTCCAATGTGAATCAATCAAAATGTTGATTCAAAGTATACCTTTTCTCCCCTGCAGAACTACTTTTACCAATATGAACGGTTGCATTTGGGCAAGTTATAAATGACTGTTATCACCTGGGCAACTGCAAAAGATACAAACTGTTAGAAACAAAAATGTCAGTTTTTCTACAGAATATTGATCATACTTGGAACAAACAAATCTAGTGTCAATCAATACTTTGAAGAGGCTTGCAATGATAAAAACAAGCAAATTGTCCACTTGTTCCTATTTCAACATTATCAGAAACACAGAAACATTTTCGTGTATACAACAATTGCAACGATTGGTCCTGAATGAGCAAACATGACTGTCCTCTGACAAAAATGCATCATTTGGCAATGCAACATTCTACATGTATATATTATACATGAATTGTTTGACAGTATGAACACTGGTTTAGTAACTCTCAATATGGACATAGGCCTATAGTTGAATAGTAAACAAAATCCACGTCATACTGTCCTTACACAACTGCACCACTTTAAAGGTATATTACATAAACAGTCAAGGTTAAAGATCTATACAAAAGTTAGCAAACTGGAATCTTAATTTTTGCCATTTTATGCATAATTTACGTTTATTTACAGAAACTATTTGATAAAGAATGAAGCACAAACATTCAAAAGAAACGTCTGTTTAAAAGGCGTGACGTTGCAAGAATTTTCCGAATTTGTACATAAGGTAAACGCAAAACAATTCAAAAGTACCCGAGGTTTGGGGTATTATTCTGTATACTAAGTTTTGCACAGCACTGGTCTATGGAAGGGTGTCGTGCAGCCATTTGCGTGTGGTCACATTAGTTTGTTTGAATGCCATATTACTACATTGATCGGATAACAGGGTAGGAGGAGGCCTTTGTCACAAAAGTTGAAGACATCTCACACAACTTTTTCCTAAGATGATGCGATACGAGATATTTTCTCAAAAGAAATGGAAAGGAGAGGTGGATTCTCCTGTTTAATTGACGATTAGATTGTAGATTTATAATAGTACTCAGAGGTCACCCAAGATACAAGGTCAATTTAATATCACTTTCAAGTGACACCCAGAATGCTTAGTGCAGTGCTATTATGTTTTAAGATTTCAATGAATCATTTTGTACAGGAATTGTTGATTGACTTTTCACATTGATTGATTGATTAAATTGATGGATTAAATTTTTTTGGGGGGGGGGGTGGGGGTTCAGTACTAGAACTATGCTGGGTATATTTGTATTCATAATGTAAGAGGATTCCGAATACATCTATTTGTATTGAAACTGTTTTGTTGACTTTTTATTCATTATCGAGCCCCTTATTGTCCTCTGAAAGTAAAGTTTTTGTTGTTATTGATTGTTGTTTTTTGTAATTTTCTGTGGTCACATTAGTTTGTTTGAATGCCGCAGAGCATTGACTTCACATAAAATGACCCATGATACATGCTTCTTGTTGCAATTTAATGCGGCTCATGAGCGTGGTGCATTCATAGGGAACAGGGTGAGAGTTATGACTTGGTGGGAGAATATTTAGGCTCAAAATTCTCCCTCTTTTGTTCATGTGTCCTTCAGGTGAGGGAGGTTTTCACTGACAACTTGTCTGATGAGCTCAGGATCGAGGCCGATGTTACAAAGATGCAAGTAACGTAACTTAGAGAGACCTTGGAGATGATGGGTGAGAGCCCTCACTGCATCCAAACTGAATGCATTGCCATCCAGGGTAAGCGATTCTAAACCATGCCCAGCAGGAAGGATGCTGATCAGGTCCTTCACATCATCATCTACCAACCTGCATGCAAAGAGCTGCAAGATTGTAAGGGATGAGGGGATGTGGCTAACATCTCCCACCCGTGCATGCAGGTTGGTGTCATGCAGTAAGAGATCACTCAACCTGCATCCTTCCAGTGCCTTCAATAGATTGACAACCTCATCCGGTGATCGTTGGTGCATAACCAAACCAAGCTCGCCTTTTTGTTCCTGCATGCGGAAAAAGCTGTGCGATACACGCCCCACATCAAACCATGACTTTGCCTCAATGCGAACCATAATGTGTAATTGAGCACAGCGCTGTTCATCCACCCCACCAAGTGTTTCCTCAAGGAGGCTAAGCTCCTCCCCCTTCTGCTCAGACAAGTAGTAGTTAACCACTATCAATCTAGTTGACTCCATGCTGTCACTCAGAAGAATTCCCCTGAGAAGGGTAAGCTCCTGCTTTCTTACATACATGTGAAAAACTGTACCTTCAAGTGGTGGAGTGACATGCTGTAAGTAGTAGCTCAGTGATTTCAGGTCTTCATTACTCTTGCAGTCTACCTCAGTTGGTCTGACTAGTTTGGTAGCCAACTCTTCTGAACTAGACTCGAACAAAAGCAGCCGAGCCAATCTCTGATGTTTCTCCTCATCACCTTCCATCTCTTGTATGTGATCCAGAATGAGACCAGCAGCCTTTCCTGATCTACCGCAACAAAATCTCAGCAGGTATTCCATCGCAAGAACATTGCTTTCTCCAATCTGCTTCAACTGATCACAGAACTTGTTTTTGTCATCTTCTAGCAATTTCACCAGGTGACATGCTGCAAAGTATTCTTGGATGGACTTGTGGGGGAAAGTGACCAGCACTTTTACATCCAGACCACTCGTGAACATTTCACGTTGAACGAAACCAACATGACAACCCTCAGCTAAGGAAGACTGACAATTCTGAAATTCAGTTTCATTGAACATGAGTCTTTCCCCGCTAGAGTCTAGTAACCCTTGCAATGCAACACGCCCCAAGTCATCAATGATGGACATCATGATGGTCATCATGTGCTGATCACCCATTTCTTCATTGCGGCGAATGAAAAGAACCTCCGTAAACTTTGCAAACAGCTCAGTAATTCTCTCAGGCAATGACTTTTGATTCTTCCAAACAAGGCATATCATCTGGGAAATGATTGGAACTTTGGACAGTTCCCATAGATGTTGACTGGTTTTCAGATATGAAACCAATGCCTTTCCCTTGTCAGCATCATCAGGAAGGTTTAATCTGATGTACTGATCTCTGTTTTGTGGATTGAAGCCAGTTGTCTCCAGCAGGGCATACTTTGGGTGACCCCTAAGTATGTACTGTTTCATGTGTGGTCGGGTGGTGACCAGCACAAAACTTTTAGTAAGGACTCTGTTGTGTAAGATATCCTGAACCCTGTACACGCCCTCCTTAGATTGCAAAACATGAGATGGAATTTCATCTACTCCGTCCAACAGCAAAGCAATGCCTGATTCATGATCATCAATTAACCCTTTCACTATGGGCTTCGTCAGTTTGGTGTTTTGAGCTAGAATTTGGTCAAATATGGCATCCAAGACACAACTAGATTGCTGCATTTGCCTCAGCTTTATCCAAAGCACAAGATCGAATCTACCAAGAAGGGGTTTTGAACTAAGGGTGATGGAGGAGTTTGCAACCTTCACTAACAGGGTTGATTTACCCATCCCAGCCCCACCAATAAGAAGAATCTTGATTTCCTTAACTTTTTCCTGATTGAACAAATCATCCAAGGAATTGAGAATGTCATACAGTGCTTCATCCAAGAATAATTTTCCTTCTGGTAATGTCACCGACCTCTCTGATTTTGTTTTGCCTGGAATGTTCTTTTTGAGTTGTAAAGGAATAAAGAATTCCTCAATACCCACTTGACGTGACTGCAGTGTAGGGTGTGCAGGAATAGTCATTGCAGTTTGCTTGTAGTTGTCGATTATTTGTTGTCGCAAGTAGGCAAAGGTATATGGCCCCTGGAGTCCGGTGATTTCTGAAACAAATCATACAATTATAATGAGTAATTTATTAGAGAATTCAGATGAACATGATTCATCACAATTCTTTCAAGCCACAATTCAACAAAGCAGACCAATCTGCAGGTGCATTTTTCAAGTCCACTTGTTTCTACATTTTTTTCTTTATCCACGTATATAAAGCATTGAATTTGTTTTGGTTTTCCATTTAGTGCAGTAAAATGTACACTTAGAAATTTTGCCAAGGATTGAAATTTACTTATCCAGATTTTTTTTTTTTTTTTTTTTTGGCGTCCCTGAGATGACAATATTGATAAAACAGTCCCTTACACTCTTTAAATGAACAAAACTGTAATAAGTCAATCCAAAAATGTTGATCATATCATAACCTGGACAATGAAAGGACTAACTGTTGCTGGCAGTTAAGTTCAAACAAAAGAAATCTCAACATTTATGTAATACTGCACATTGTTTTGAGGCCATATTTGTTCCGTTATTGTCAGGAGGAGTTTCTTCTTAAGAGTGTGATTTTACGTTTACCCAACACCCACTGAATCAAACACTTGTTATTGGTGTTCATTCATGGGCGTATCTATACGAGTGCATGAAGACTGAAAACATGTGTCCTGACCTTTCGTACCGCCCCCCCCCCAAGAAGAATGCGAGCAGAAGACAACCAAACATGAAATAACCTAAATTGTGATTACAAAACTAACTTCTATAGTAAAAAGTATGTGCTTAAGAAACAAGCTAATGTGCGTTTCTAGTTGAATATTGTTTTTAATGCCGTTATGTGTTTCCCCTTCAAACTTTCTGAGCACTGAAATTTGGTTTAAAATAAAGGAATTGATTAACTCGTCAGATGCACCATGAACCGACGTATCTCATTTTTTTGTGTTTTGAGAAAAACCGATTTAAAGTCGGTCATTATTTTGTAGGCTTTCAAGCTGTTTTATTTATGCTATTAAATTATAGATGGAACTTTATTGTATGCAATCCGTGTGCATCTGAGTTGCTAAGTTTTTGAGAAATTCAGTTCCAAAGTTATTTGTTACTTCGTGAAACAGATTTTTGTCAGTTTATTGTATGTCATTCAACGCGCATAATAGTGGCCGTACGTGTGCCAGATACGGCGATAGATCGGTTCGTGAAACGCTAAATTCCATTTTTTCATGTCAACGCTCCTTTGTAACGTCATAACACTATGGGAATTAGTGTATAAAGTGGCGTCATAGATACAGAATAAAAAGACTAGATCGGCAGCGTGTCCACACGCGCCCATTCACCGTGCAATAAATCTCCGCCATTTTTGTTGTCTCTCGTGAACGCACAACAATTAAAGTAAAGTAATGGAGCTAAATGTATCTTTCCTCCAGCACATGACCTAGCTCAACGCACGCGAAGCTAGAAATGCGCACCGTGTATTTACACGATGCGCACACGCATTAGCGATAATGGTGCACTGTGTGCGTAATAACGTTAATGACAAAAACTAAATTTGACAAAAAATCTAGATACGCCGGTTCGTGGTGCGACCGACGAGCTTAAACAGACAGTAATTCGTGTTAACAGAAGTGTCTTATTAATTTCAGGAATACCGTAGGTAAAGTAATACAGTTTCTCTATGGGTTCCTTAAACACGCCTACTTATCTTAATGACCAGAAAAAAAGGGTGTTTTGCTTCGTCATTCAATCATATGTACCAATGGTATGATTGAAACAATGGTTGATGTGGTTCATTCTGATACCTACCTATCAGGTCTTCAACAATGTCCCGTTTGCCGATCTCCATCAGAGCTGTGCATAACACGTCCCTCTGATCCGTGCTAGTGGATTGTTGGCGCCTCCATTTGACCAGCATGTTGAAGATCTGGTTCTCTGTCTGGCCTGGGTCATCCATCACGATGCGCTCGATCTCTGCAGCGCTTAAACCGAGTTGTGTAGCCAGCTTCCGCCATTCAGAGCCAAGCCTCTCAGAGATCTTGCGTAGAACGGGCTCAGTGATACCTGCAAACAGAGACACACCAATTAATATGGTAAAGAACGTTTCTGTGAAACCTTGTACACGTATGTATATACCCTACTTCGTTCAACAGTTTAATTTGAACAAGCTTACGCTTATGTTCAGCACGGCAACTGTGGACACTTATTTAATTCTATTTTTGATTATATTGATTCTCTCAAACTCAGATCACTCGCGTTGATGCACATGCAGTGTTTCTTCTTTTGTAGACATTATGAAAAATGCAATAACTGTTAGTCTCAAATCCAGCATTTGTTCCACCCATAAAACGTTTTATCCGGCAAAACGTAATGTTAAGAAGTACTATAATAGGCTTTATACATGTAACTTTCCTGGAACTTGGGGGTGCTCATCATCCAAGTTTGTTTCTGAAAAAAATTGTATTAAATGTACCGCATTTGCCTTCACAGTGTTAATAAGACTGCACTCTGCAAATTACAGAGACATAATTTACAAAATTAGGCGAATGTACAAATGTGGCTAAACATATCAGTAAACAGAGCACTGCAATGGTGATTCAATGGCATGTTCAAATCTTGTAAATTTATTGACTCATCTATTTTCTTTTAATCAAATAGAAAAAGACACGTTCATTCTTGTCAGTGTTGCATGGATGCAAGCCGCTATCAAAAAAAAAAAAAAATACTCATTCTAATTCTGATTGATTCCTCTGTCTCGGATCAAAATTAGAAAATGCTGACTTACGGGCATGGGTAGCAGGAATGTCGCACTATGATCAATGAATTAGCTGGTACAAAACTCATGCGTGAGTACGGCTGGATTGCTAAGGAAGTTGTTATTTGAGTGTGAGGTGCTCGGTAGTTTTTGAGTTAGACAAAAAAGTATTGGGGGGAACTTTCTTTTTTGGTGGAGTGTATCACAGACAAATGACAGAATACATTGTCAAAAAAGTCTCTACAACTCACCTGGAACTTGGGGAGGCTCATCATCCAATTTTCTTCCTGAAATAAAATAATATGAACTTTACATGCATTTGCCTTTACAGAAATAACACAGCACGGTGGAAAAAAATTGGGAGAGGGCAAATACAGGGCTCCATAATTCAGTCAATAGAGCACTGGAACGGTGTTTCTGAGGTCACATGTCCAAAATCTTCCATAGCTAATGAAGCTGGACGCTGCAAAAGTACTGCTGGCAGGGCAGTTGCTTTGTGAAATAACTGGTATGATTCTCTGGCCATTGAAGGGTGCCCTATGAGTTATATCATGATTGGAATGATATATATGGGAACTATAAAGTGAGATACTTTGTGTTTATGCTCTACCTGGGAGCAAATTGGTTTGTGTGATGACATACAATAGCTGGATGCTGTGAGGGAGTTGAGGTTTCAAGATTTTGTCAAGCATACAAAGACCTATTGTAAAGAACTGGATTTAGATTTTAATTTGGCTGACAGTTGTCCAACTTCAACGAACCTCTTGGAGCAAATCTACTCCAAAGATTTCCCATTGTTGGTCAGACTAGGACCACGCTCCAACACAGGCAAACTTTCTGCAGAAAGATAAAAAGGAAACCAATTGTTATACTCATTTAATTATAGCACTTCCATACGTACCTATTCGAATTAAATGGTAGATTAAAAACATTGCCTTATGCCTGTACATTGGAACCGTCTGTAATTATCAACCTGCGTCTCGCTGCCGTTGTAGGTGGTCTGTATTCTGTCAACTATCAGTACTGATATCAGTCCAAGTATCCACCCACAATAAACATCATTAAAAAATCATATCACTAACAATCATACTTAATTTGGACCAGCCAGACAAAAAGTAAACAAACAAAACACTTCAAACCATCCCTTTGACACTCTTCACATCCAGTAATGACACTTACCTGCATGAAGCCAACTTTAAGAGTCCGTTGATAAAAATATCATTTTCTAATCTTCTCTTTAAAAAATATAATGGACTGAATCCAGGGCAGCTGTTTGATAAGTTACAAGTCCATATAAGGCAAACATAGCAATCGTATCAGTCAGAGCCCAGCTATGATCAATATTCCCATATAACATTCCTCTACCGTTCAGTGTGTGGGTTCGAGTCCCAACCGAGTGATTTTTTCCAACTTTTACTCGGTAGGTAACACTCTGAGTATACAGTGTTTATACGTCGGTGAAGGGCAAAACCTAATATTGAAAACGAACACAAACAAACCCTAAACCTAAAGGAAAATAGGAAACTAAAGCATACAAAGTACAAAAAGTAAATCTAAAGCTATTGGAACTTCAGAACACACCAATGACATTTGAACCCTGACAATTTGCGTCATTGAACCCTCTGTAATTATCACCCTGCATCTATTTATGTAAGCCGCCGGTGTCGGTGGTCTGTATTCTGTCAACTATTGGAACTGATATTGGTCCAAGTATCCACCCACAATAAACATACATTCAATTAAAAAATCATATCACTAAAATCATGCTTAATATGGACCAGCCAGACAAAAAGTAAACAAACAGAACACTTCAAACCATCCCTTTGACACTCTTCACATACAGTAATTACACTTAATCACCTGCATGGAGCCAACTTTAAGAGTCCGTTGATAAAAATATCATTTTTTATCTTCTCTTTAAGAAATAAAATGGAGCAATTCCAGGGCAGTTGTTTGACAAGTTACTAGTCCATGTAAGGCAAGCATATGACCATATATCGTATCAGTCAGAGCCTAGCCATGACCAATTTTCCTACCTAACCTTCCTGTACCATTCAGTATGTGTAGAGATGGGCCACCGGTAGCTAGCTGCTCACGGCATGCATGTCGCTGTGACTCGTATCTTGGCCTTGCAAGCTCAAAATCTTCGAGGAAACTTTTTGTAGTGTCATTATCTGTAATTTTGTGTGTAATGTGTCAGTTTTCTTCAAAATCGAAAGACGCCCAGAATAAATACACTAAGAAATAAGAAAGATTTTATCATTGAACCAAATTCAAACAAAAAGGCCAAAAGCACTGTGCAGTAATGCCCCGCCCCATCACTATGCACACATATTATTGGTGACTGCTCTATGTTCCGACACCCCTATGTTCCGACAACCTAGATTGTGTTACTCCCGGTTAGGGTTAGGGTTAGGGTTAGGGTTAAGGTTAGGAATAGGAATATGTGCAGTCGGAACATAGGGGTGTCGGAACATAGAGGTGTAACCATATTATTTAGCAGTATGATCTTAGTCTATTAAAAGGCCAACATCATGCAAGATTTAGTAGGTCCAAATAATTTCTAGATGCACATGCTTAGCTAGGTACACAGCTTTAAAATTTTCCTGGGCTCTGTTGTTATGACTGCTACAAGCATGTAAATGGTTAAACTTTCTTGAAGTTTATTTTGTCAGATTTAGATTGTCTCTCTGTATGACCTTAACAACCTTGTTTCCATGGGTACGATCTTACTTAGTTCCTATCGTGCCTTGCGCGATCTTTACCCCTGGAATTGTGTAATCTAAATGTGCCAAATAGTGGCACATTTAAATTTGGACTGCAGTCAAGTATCTAACGCACGATGCGGTGGTTTAACATTTAGGATTTATTTTAATTTGACGTACCTACATCGTCCCTTTATAACACAAGATACAGATTTTCTGCGGCTAAAACCGAGACTTCCTTTATCCATCATACAGGCATCCTGCAGTTTAAAAAAATGTTCGTACGTGACGTGACGTGCAGGAGATAATGCACAAGCGCTTACAGGGCGTGCAGTTTTTGAAATATATACACGCAGTACGCTCTGAATAGCCGGTTAATGCTGTTTATGTATTCCTCATGGCCAGGGGTTAGCCAAGGAACGCGCACACGCCCATGGAGTCAAGGCTGTGACCTAAACAACTAGCCAGTAATAAATAAACCTATCAAGATTAGGACGAAATTTGGGGACAATATTGCGTTAAAACAAAACCCATTTATTACAATTACTATTTGAAAGTTACATTGCAATATGGAGTCAGACAAAATCACACCATTCCACTCACTGACGTTGTGTTTCACAATAGTTAGTCCATGTACGGTAGTACATTGTATGCTTGTTTTTCCCAAACTTTGGTAATCTTCGGCAGTTAATTATTACAGAAAGGAACTACAGGGTGAGTAAACCAATGCATCCCAAATGGCAGGACCAATTCTTGAATGAAGTTTTGCCTGCAGGACTTTCAAAATCTAGGATATGAAAGCCAAATTCATAAGCTTTCTTTTTGTACAAGAATCATTCAGGTCACTCATTTACCTTTCAGTTACAGACTTTTAAACATTAACACTGGTTTAAAGGTCTGTCCATGGATCACAAAAAAGTGTTCCTTCAGCAAAAGGAAAACAATTCTCATAGGAATGCATGGGAATTGTTTTTGTTTTGCTGAAAGAACATGATGTACCGGTAAGTTATTGAACACATTTAGTCAAATGAATTATAATATGTAATCGATCTGACCGTAACTACAATGTATATGTAAGGCCAAGACAATTCAATCAATCAAAACAGAAGCCGTTTTGACTTTTCACTAGATGTGTTTAAGTACATACACGTATATTTCAATATCAAAAAATGACCAGGCTATCTAAATCGCCTGATCACTTCCCTGTATTGAAAATAATATTTAAAATAAATGCCATTTTGTTCAATAAGTTACTGTGAACATGTCTGCATGTGTCCATATTTACCCCCCCCCCCACCCCGCCCATCGCTTTAAAGATACTCCAAACAACTCCTATGTTGTAAAAGAAAAATAACCACACCTGCATAGTACATAATTCTAAAAGTATGGACTTTCCCCAAGGCAATATTAGTCTAATAATAGACCCATGGTGAATGCCATGGGTCTATGATATGTGAGCAGATTTGCTGATTAATTAGGCAAGACCCCGCCTCTTGACCTCCTAGATTTTGACCAATCTGCAGGCGCTTCTATATCGGGTCTCCCGTTATTCACCCTTGGCGTGTCATAGGCAATGGATTAAAAAGCCCTGCGTCATGCGCTCGGTATCATGTTACGCGATTATGCGCCCGGCTATTGTTGCATTACAAAACACTGCACTCGAATCGACCAATCAAACGTTGAGTCCTGATTTGGGAATGAAATGATGTCACGATCTAGTAAAGTCGACTCCGATTGGCTGGCGCGCGGCTGGCATGTCTAGACATATCAGACTTTATACAGGAGTCTTGCTCCGTAGATAACGGGTGATACTCAGACTAAGGCAATATGATAATACCTGTTAAATTCTTAAGGGGGGGGGGGGTGAGGGGGGGCCGGGGGGGGGGCAGAGGGGAAGGCGGAGAAGGAAGAGGGGTGGCGGGGGGGGGGGTGCTTTGAGACGGCTGCTGGTGTAAATTTTGTCAGGTTCACTTGCAAATTGATATCTATTTGGGCATATATACATACAGCAATCAAAATCTGAATTGGGTGGCAAGGGAAGGGGCTGGGCCTAGCTGGGTGGGGATGACTGGACATCATTAACTAATGATGCACTTCAATCAGAGGACAATGGATAGGGCTATTATTATTCACTGTAGCTTGCAAACACATGATGTTTGCCGACGTGACAATGATTTTCCGACAAAGCCAAGTTATTGGTAGACCGGATGGTCATACCCCACCCTCAACCCCAAGCAATGCCCCGGGGGTGGGGGAAGGGAGGCTGTGAAAAGGAAGCTGTGTAATTCCTAAAGTGTTCATCTGCAAATTATTTAGTTACATTTGTTTTGTTCCAAATGCAATAAATTCGGTGGCAAAGGGAGAGTGGGCGGGGCCTAGCCGGGTGTGTGTGGGGGCTATACGACTTATTATTCATCCACTATAGTCTAAGGGCCCTGTCACACTTCTGCGTATCCTAATTCCTTATGAGTTGCGCATTAACATTTTTTTCATACGCAGTCGTACGCACAATACGCACCTCATATGCATCTCTATCGTTTTGTGTAAGTTTTATGCACGCAGGCATACGCATGGTACGGCCCAGTACGCCGGATAGTTTTGGGCATGCACAAAACTACGCTGCGTACGCTGTTACGCAGGTCATAAGTTATAAATACGCAGGGTATCGGTCCCCCATCGGTCGAGCACGGTACGAGTATGCTATGTGTTCGTGGGGGATAAGCGGTTCATACGCAGTAATACGCTGACCTCCCGGCACACACCCCGTCAGCATTATGAGCCGCCTATATTGGACGTATACATAGCGTACTTGCAGCGCAGATACAACGCACGCTGAACGAACTCATAGTGAATGCCTACGTATTGTACGAATTGGTACCACTCTTCCTGCGAGCCGGCAGCGCATTGTACTTATTCGTAACTTATGAGAAACGCACAGATAGCGTGCTTGTGCACTGCATATGCAACTCATACGCATCTCATACGCAATGGATGCGCTGAATTTGTTACTTGTACGCTAGATGTGCGGTCGCACATAAGTCAATGTAATCAAAAAAATTCGACGTTTTGAGCATACGGCTGCGTATTGAACAATTTTGATAAGGAACTCATAAGGAATTAGGATACGCAAAAGTGTGACAGGGGCTTCACAATGATACACAGTCTGATTCTGTTTTAACATATTATTATGTTATTACTCAAAACAAAGGGCAAAACTGAAAATACACTTTTTAAGGTTTTTGTGAAAATTACCATTTTTGGAGCACTAATGCACAAAGGATACAATAACCCAAGATTTTCTCACCAGATATGAAAAGACCAATGTCTGAACTAACCATAACCGAAGGGAAATTATTCTTAGTGCCCTGGAAAGTGCTATTTTGGAGGATTAAAAAAAATTTCTTGTAAGGGTAAGGATGATACTTTGTCGTGATATAGTTATTTTTGTGACATAACTTCGTGTTTTGGCTTGATGGCTTTTAAAAATAATGCAAAAAATGAATTTTTGCAGCCTCTAAATATTGATTTAAAAAGTCTATTTTGGTTACTTTAATACTCCCCAAGTCCTTTCATCCCACAAAGTATAAAAAATTAAACTTTTTGACTGTGGACACTTACACGAAATGACTCTTAAAGGGAAGATACAACATCTGCAAACATCAAAACAAATTATCACGAAGTATCTTACTGGACTGTTAGGGAATGACAGTCTAAAGCATCCTGTAAAGTTGTGCTCCTGGTGTGCTGACATTTTCAAGAAAAACTGTATTTTTCCAACGCTGGTCGGCCAACCAGTGTTGGGGAAAACTTTTTTTTCCCTCAAAAAGTGCTCCTAATTTTTCATATTTAGTTCGTATGCATTCTCTTTGCAATTAATTTCACACCTGTGAAGAACTACAAGCCTGCTAGACTGATTCTCTGATCTTACAATTACCTAAAGTTTATAAATTGCTACGTTCATCTTAAGTGGGTCAGGGAACCAGACTTCAAGAATATGATTGGTTTTCTTGGTTTTTCCAGCACCAACCCAAAACGTGGAACAAGTCAGTGTAACAATATTTGCTATAACATACTAATCCTCCAAATCCATTTATTTCTGAAATTTGCAGCAAAAGCAAATGTTGTACATTCCCTTAAAATGTTTATCGTACAGCCTTACTTTACTTAAAACCGACATAACAGGCGAGTATCACTTGCCCCCAAAGCTATTTTACCACCTAAGTCATTATGTAATCATGCATACATCAAAATTGTTTAAAGTTAAAGAAAACTTTTATTTGGAATGCGCTCTCTTGCACACTATAAAGCATCCCCCCTCAAAATCATGATACTTATAAATAATACTTTAA